AGATCTCCATTGGAATTGCCGACCAATCCATTCTGCATCTACGGATTTGGTATACTGACTTCTAATTCGCCTCTGATATTATAGCATTACAAGAGACATGGCTATCTGTACATAATTTGTTTCATTAAAATAACTTCCAATCTTTTCGATTAGACCGTCCATCGAGAGGTGGGGGTCTAGCTCTCTTTATTAGTAATAGACTTAGTATGAAAGTCAAATGCTCATACAAACATATGTCGCCAGAATGCGAAATTTTGGCAGTAGACATCACACTGCCCAACTGCACTCCTTTCACTTTAGTTAATATATATTTTCCGGATGGAGTTCAAGACACACGAAGTTTGGATCTAGCTACAAAATCGTGGTGCAAAGACAAAGTTTTTAGTTGGAGACTAATTCCCACCACACGAGTTGGGACTTCAGAACTGATCTCAGTGGGAACGCTTGTGAGAGTGGACAATGGCCAATGACCTGACGTGCCCTAACGTCAGAACCCCCACATTATTCGTAATCACTCCAGGTCGGCCTTAGATTTAGGTTTTGTCAGTTCAGCCATTACTACTTCTTCTAGAAAGCGCTGGACTGTGGCACCAACAGTGACCACTTACCGATAAGTTTTGAAATTTCTTGTCCGATAATTCCTACTTGTTCAAATGTAAGAGTATTTGTAAATTACACTAAATTTAGGAATGACCTGAAGTCAGCACGGGCTTTTCACTCGGAAGAGAGCGATGATAAAAAGCACTGAAAATAAACGCAGTCATTAAACGATCCTACAAAAGAGCCGAATTTACTGTTGAATCCACAAAAAGAGTATATAGCCGTTGGTGGAATGATGAAGTACAAGAGAGCACCGACGACGTCAGGCAGCTTGGAAGCAGCTCTTACATAATCAATCCCCACAAAACTGGGCCGATTATAAATGCATTGCTGCGGGCTTTAAAAGAACGGTAGCTTAGGCTAAACAAGATTATGACAGAAGACATTATGAATACCTGTCGAAGCCTAAACATAAGAAAGTACTGTTCCGATATATGAGAGCTCGGAAAATCTTGCCATCACCAGTTAATGTAGCTTGTGATAATCTGTCGGCACAAGAAATGACCACTACCTTAGAGGCAATCGGTAAAGGTCTGGAAAGCAGATTCACTTCAGTAGTGCCAATCAACTGGCACAAGTCTACGACAAAGTCTGACTTTGAAGAAGTGACACAGACTGAAGTATCCAACGTGATTAAACATTTACCCTGTGCATCTCCTGGCCCAGATGGAATCACAGTACCCATGATTAAAATTCTGTTCAATTTAACGCCTCGAGACGTCGCCAATGTAATTAACTACTCCTTAAAAAACTCATGGGTGCCGCAGGATTGGAGGATAGCAAAGGTGATTCCTATACTAAAAAAATCCGGGTGGAGGATTAACAGTCGATAAAATCAGACCAATCTCTCTAATATCTAACATGGTCAAACTAGTTGAGAGCGTCCTACATAGCCGAGTAAGTATCTGGATGGCAGACAATTTAGTAATAAAACCGAACCAAATCGGCTTTCGTAGTGATTTCTCAATTGGTGTGCTCATGCCTGATTTAGAGAGCCGAATACAGCTCGCGCGTAAAAGAAGGCAATACGCTGCTTTAGTAACGCTTGACATAGCCAAGGCGTATGACAGTGTGGAGCACTTCATATTGTTAAATACGCTAGAGAGCGGCTTCCCACGATATTTTATTGAGTGGGTGGAAGAATTCTTAAAATCAAGAGAATTCTACTGCGTCAAGGATGGATGTTTCCTCATCTAGATTTAAACAAACGCGCGGAGTTCCCCAAGGAGCAGTCTATCTCCAATATTATTTAATGCTTTAATGAGCACAATTCGAACAGATCAAGAAGTTACTGTCTACATTATGCTGATGACATCGCACTCTTTGCTGCTGACTGTGGTATTTACTCATTACAACTTAAATTACAAAGATATAATAACATGTTAGAAATTTGGTTGCAGTCGATTTCGTTATCGTTAAATGTCAACAAAAGCGCGCTCGTGGCGTTTCCGCTTGCAGAACCAATTTCAATTTCAATTCTATATAAACAGGAACCCATCCAGCAAGTAGACTCTATAAAATACTTGGGAATCATTTATAATGACAAACTTAACTGGAGTCAGCACATAGAGTATATAACTACCAAAGCACAGCGGGCTTCAGGCTTACTACACAAGCTAAGTAACCGGAAATATGGGTTACGGAGGCACACCTTGATAACGTTGTACAAGATGTACATGCGCCCCATCATGGAATTCGGCTGCATATTATTGTCGGGTGGCCCTGCTTATAAAACGAAACGTCTAGTTCTCTTGGAGCGAGAAGCACTGCGAATGTGTCTGGGACTCCCTAGATTTGTGGCTATCAACATACTGTACCAGGAAGCGCGCCTGCCTACACTTCTTTGTCGATTTCAAATTTTGACCGTACAAGCATTTTCAAAATTTTATAGCTTACCGGCTAGAAGATCTCAATATGCTTTTATCGCAAACCCAGACGCCTTCTTTCTTGCTCATTGGCCACGGTTTCACACACCTCAGATAATGATTGTACAAAAAAATCTACAAAGTATAAATGTGAACATTAGAAATGTAATTAAGACTAATGACTCGAATTGTCATGTTATTATTGAGTATCATGATATATTCCCCCAAAACGCCAAATTACAATCCCTCAAATTTTTAAACAACATATTAGTAGATTACTTGGAGCATGCGAAAACTAAAAATATAATAGCCACAGATGCTTCCGTAAATAATCAAAAGGCAGGTGTAGGCATTGCCTCTGATTTGCTTGACTGGTTCTTTTCAGTGAGACTGCCTGATTTTACTCCAGTTTTTGAAGCGGAGCTCTTGGCGATTATTTTAGCTCTTCGAAAACTTCCATCAAATCAAAACAATGCAATAATAATGACGGATTCTCTTTCAGTTTGTGCAGCTCTGACAGCTTCAGAGAACTCTCGAATTTTAAGCACATTCAAAACATTAGTACGACCGCAGTTGAGACTCCTGAGATTACTATGGGTTCCGGGTCACTGTGGATTAAGATTAAATGAATTGGCCGATTTTTACATTAGTCTTATTATAATACCAATTCATTGCACATAGTTAAAATGATCACAGAAAAACTGCACTAAACTTTCTTGGCCAATCCCCCTGAGTGGGTATGAGCCAACCTCCCAGGGAAACAAAACAAAACGGTCGAGGACGGCGACGCTCCGCTTCTGGTAGGTGAGCGGAAAGTTTGCTCTGTATGCGATTTAGCGGGCTCTCAACGTCACTGTACGCTTGTGTGTGCATTGTTTTTGATTGGTTTTTAATCATAATCCCGGTAGGATGGTCAATCTTGTTGTATTGATCGACAAGCTTGAAGCGTACAGACACGATTGTACAACAGTGAACAACGTTTGTTGGGAGCGAGGCTTTTTATAGCCTCTGAAGGGTATGCGCACACAACGTGCGCAGTGGCAGTGACTTGTGCAAATGACGATGCATCAAAGCTGGCGTAGCCATACTCGCAGAATGCCGAGGCGCAGTGATAAGTTTGCTTAACGCTAGAGTGGGCTCTTCGTTGTCCAAGTAACACAGAATGCGTTACGTCGGGTTTAACAGGGCGTAGCTGCTAAAGCACGCCACTTCTGTTTATCGGATCAAGTCTGTATAATTTACAGCAAGTACTTGCTTACTGATAACAAAACATCGAGGCAGCTTCTACTGGCTTTATTGTTCTCTTTTTATTCTTTTTATCCCATCGCTGCAACAGTATTGCAGCTATTTCTTTGAAGATTGTCTTCAATAATGAAAATGTGACGTTTTGAAATAAATGATAAGTTATACAGCGGGAAAGACGTCAAAAGACAAGTAAAGCGCTTAGGTTTTCCGGTGAATTGAGTAACAGGGTGTTAAGGTATGTAAACTAGAGACCAGGGCACGTTAAAAACCACAGGTGGTCGGATTTCTGTTGTCCGTCACCCGGGGTGTCTCGTAATTATTTGGTGGTATTGAATCGCCAAAAGCAGGATATCAACACCGGAGCTGAACCACTACAACACTCGGATTTCTAACTATAAAGACTTTTATTATTGTAAAGGTCTAGTTCATGCACGTACACGACAGTGAATATCGAAGTACATTGCGTATAAAATGCCCCCATAGCCCTCATGCTGGTCTTTTCTTATTTTGGTTGAGAGAACTCTGTGAATGCATGTGACAGGACCGTCTTTTCTCAGAGCATTCAAAAAGTCGGCAATGGGCATGCCATCTTCTGCTGACGTTGAACCGGAGCACGCCTGACTGCGGACATTGTCTTGCGGTTGTAGATCTCTGCGTTGTGTCGGCCTGAAGTTTCATATCAACTACTTCTTCCTCTGGGCCCGTGATAATAATAATAAAATAATAATATATATTAATAGTAATATAATAATAATAATAATAATAATAATAATAATAATAATAATAATATAATCGGTTGTTTAACTATAGCACTTATAGAATGCTTAGAAGGAAAGGTGTTACTGCAACGATGAGGTGGTCATTTCAATTTCCTGTGGACGCATAAATTGGTGACGTTGCAGCCAATCCAGGCCGGGAATAGTGTGATAAAACAAAGCCTGGTTAGGCTTGAACGTGAAGACTAAAATAAGCCGTAAATCTTCCGTAGCGGAGGATTCTTGACCACGTGGATTGCTGCGCTTCTCAAGCAAACAATTTCAGTTTTGAAGAATAAATTCAGCCAGCTTCGCTTGGCGGACACTTACAAAACAACGAAGCTGATGACGACAGTGGCGTTGAATGAAGCGTGTTGAATGAAGTGGGAATAATGTGGCATGAAGTGGTTGTAAAAGTGTGAGAAATGGCAGGAAATTTAGTGGGCGTAGTTCTCAGATGTGAGAGTAGACGGAGTGGTTGTAAGAGTGGCCATAAGATTTACCCGCTCTCTGCAGGTAAATGCTACTACGAGTTACGACTCAGCCGGACCCCAAGTTTTGAACAAGACGAGCTCCGCTGCTAGAGGTGAGCAACTTTCGCATGTCGCGGGGCATAAGAGAGGCACTTTCCGGGCATTAAAAAACTGATATGGAGGCCCGTGCTTGGCAAGTACAAACGCTTATTTGCGAGCAGCCGCGCAAATGTGCTTATTAGGTGGATCCAATATATCACGTGCTCTCGATATATCGTATTGAGATAGCATCGACCAGCAAGTGGGGCTCTGCTGTGTACGGACATACGGGCATAGCTTTGGGCTGTCCAGAGGAATTTCCATGCAGCGGAGGTCTCGCCCAGATAGTCCCGTCGTGGGAGCGGCCTGCCGTGTGCTACGGTACACGTCTTCGGACTTCTATCAGTACAGTTTTACCAAGCCATGCATAATCATTCGCTAGTGAGATCGCGTCACAATTCCAACGCACAACGTGTTTCCGACGTCCCCAGTCAACTACAAATTATTTTTTTTAATATGTATATATATATATATATATATATTGTTAAATTTTGATGCAGTATATATATTGTAATGAATTAATGAATCTGAATAACGGACGCTCTGCTGGCAATGAAGAAGACGACGATGATCGGTGGCTGCAGTAGTAGCTTGCGCACGCCACTCGCCATTAGCTAGACCTGCCTGATAAAGCATATTTTGCCAAGCTGCGTCTGAACCTTTTTCGACGTACAACATCTCTATTTTAAGTGGTGGAGGAGCCGGGGTTCCCATCAACCTGGAACTTCGCAATCGGACGCTACCTTCACCGTTCACCATGACTGCTCCTGGCCCTTCTCAAGCTGCCTTACCAACGACAGTCTACTGTACTGGTGTACCTCGGCAACGCGACCCACCAATTTTTCGCGGCAACGACGAACAAGACGTCGAGGACTGGCTCGTCGAGTATGAAATCGTAAGTGCTTCCAACAAGTGGAACGCCTGCGAACAGCTCACAAACGTGCGCTTTTACCTCGCTGATGTGGCCAGCCTCTGGTTCAAGAACCACGAAGGCGAAATCACCAACTGGTCCGCCTTCAAGACCACCATCGCCGCGGTCTTCGGTCGTCCCACAGTGTGCCGGCTTCGCGCGAAACAGCGTGTCCGTAGTCGAGTCCAGCGCAGAGATGAGACGTTTACAAGTTACATTGAAGATGTCTTGTCTCTTTGCAAGCGCGTTGGTGAATCTCTAACCGAACACGACAAAATCAAGCACATCATCAAAGGAGTTGACGAATTTACCTTCCAGATGCTCGTCGCTAGGAACCCACAGACCATCACCGATGTTGTCCAGCTCTGTCAGGAGTACGACGAGTTGCGTAAGCAGCGTGTCTCGACGCGCAGGGCCGCTGAAGATACGGCCGAAGTTTCCGCCCTCGTGCACGACGTCGCTGCTGATCACACCGTCTTACTGCCCCACATAAACGTCCCTACGCCGTTGACCTACGCTGCCGTCGCTGCTAGACCCCCGCCCCACCTGTCTCTGGTGCATACCGGGGCACCAGGTCCTCCTACCCTTCCGACGCTGCCCCATACACGGCACCCCATCCCGTTTCGCCACCTGCACCTTCTGTCGTTAACTCATGGCGCACCTTGGTATAATCGACCCATCTGTTTCGCATGCGGTTTCGTGGTACATATAGCACGCCACTGTCGCCGTCGCAACTTCCAGCCTCCAGACCATGGAATTCTGCAAATTGCCAAGCTGCCCAGAATCCCCAGCGACCATCTTCTCCTATCACCGACTCATTGTCCCCACGACGCCCTGTCGATTCTCGCCGGTCATTACCACCCCCGTCGCCGATCTGTCTCCCCGATGCTTCGGCGCACGAGCCCCGCTCGAGAGGAAAACTGACAGCCGCAGTTCCGGAGGCAAGAACTGCGTCGTCATCGAACTTCTAAGACCTCCTCTTTGTCCGACCAACGAAATTGATGTGCTAGTAGAAGGTATTGCTGTGCGTGCACTTGTCGACACAGGCGCCGTCGTTTCTGTAATTAGTGAAAAACTGTGTCGCGATTTGAGGAAAGTTACAACGCCGCTTACGAATCTTGCTCTGCGTACAGCCACTCCCATTTCATCGCGCCGACAGCTCAGTGCACAGCACGCGTTCTTATTCAAGCTGTTTGGTACGCCGTCCACCTTGTTGTTCTCCCACGTTCATCTTACGACGTCATACTAGGATGGGATTTCCTTTCTACCCATCAGGCCCTCGTCGATTGCGCTCGTGCTGAACTCACGTTGACGAATCCGTGGCTTGATATCGACCACCAAAGTCCCTCGAAAGTGTTTGCCGCAGCTGACGTCCGCATCGCGCCGTTGTCCGCCGTCCTAGTGCCTGTGTTTTCCCCTGCTGCCACTAACTCGACGCTCCTGTTCCAACCAACTATAGCTAGTGTGCAACACCGAACCATCATCCTCCCGTTTGCCGTCATCAACTTTCCAATGGTTCGGCGGTACTTTATGCGTGCAACGTTTCTGCTTGCCCATACATCCTGCTACGCGGCGAGTGTCTGGGGAGCCTCGAGACCTTAAATTGTATTTTCGAAGACCCGATCTATCCAGACAAGCCATTTTTACCGACTTGTGCCATTACACCCGCAGCTGACGCTAATGAGCCTATGGATGTATTCCGCAAGTCCATTGATTGCAACCTCACGCCTGGGCAGCAGGAACAGATGATCAAGCTCCTACAGCGTTTTCGGGCCTCGTTTGACCACAATCAGCCTTCCTTAGGTCGAGCGTCATCTGTTGTTCATCGTATAGATACCGGTCAAAAGACGCCATTACGGCAGCGTCCATATCGTGTGTCAACTACCGAACACTGTGCCATTAATGAACAGGTTGACGACATGCTGACACGTGGCATAATCGAACCGTCAAGCAGTCCCTGGGCCTCTCCAGTTGTGTTGGTGAAGAAGAAGGACGGATCCATCAGGTTTTGCGTGGACTACCGACGTCTCAACCGAATCACGCGCAAGGATGTCAATCCGCTGCCACGCATTGACGATGCCTTGGACTGCCTACAGGGAGCCGAATTTTTCTCTTCTTTAGATCTGCGCTCTGGATACTAGCAGGTACCCATGGCAGAGGCCGATCGCGAGGGGAAAACAGCTTCATCACGCCGACGGGCTTTACGAATTCACGGTCATGCCCTTCGGCCTCTGCAACGCGCCGGCTACTTTCGAGCGAATGAGGACTCTATCCTTCAAGGCCTCAAATGGAACGTTTGCCTTTGTTATTTAGATGACTTGTCGTCTTTTCAACTGATTTCGCAACCCATTTTAACCCGCCTCGAGAAAGTCCTTGCGTGTATTTCTGCGCGGGGCTGCAATGAATCTGAAGAAGTGCCATTTCGCCGCTCGAAAGCTTACGATCCTTGGCCACGTGGTTTCAAAAGACGGCATTTATCCTGACCCTGCCAAACTTACAGCCGTTTCAGCGTTTCCCAAACCGACCACCATAAAAGAGCTCCGAAGCTTCATAGGCTTGTGCTCTTACTTACGGCGCTTCGTTCGCAATTTCGCGACGATCATCGCTCCTTTGACCAAGCTCCTCGCCGGCTCTAGAGACCTTTCAGCCTGGTCTGCTACCTGTGACAATTCTTTCAATGAACTGCGCCGCCTCCTCACGTCGCCGCCTATTCTGCGACACTACGCCACATCGGCACCCACAGAGATCCACACCTACGCTAGTGGTGTCGGGCTAGGCGCTATTCTTGCACAGAAGAAAGACGGGCTTCCAAGAGTACGTCGTTGCCTACGCAATCCGAACTCTAGCAAAGCGAATTCAACTATTCCGTCACTGAAAAGGAATGCCTGGCCATTATTTGGGCGATAGGAAATTTAGACCTTACTTGTACGGACGCCTTTTGAAGTCGTGACTGACCACCACGCCCTCTGCTGGTTGTCGTCACTGAAGGATCCAGCGGTCGCCTCGCCCGATGGGCATTACGCCTCAAGAATATAATATTCGCGTGGTCTCCTCGCTCCGGCCGGAAACATTCGGACGCAGACGCCCTATCCCGTTCGCCCCTACCCCCTGACCCGGACTGCGCGAAAGGCTAACCTGTGATGCCACTGCCGTCACCATCGCCGACATGCCATCTGAGCAACGCAAGGACCCCTTGGTTGCTTCGATTCTAGACATCCTGGCTGGGCGGACGGCTTCCCCCCCTTCTCGCTCATTGCGTCGGCAAGTCGAGCACTTCGCCACTCGCGGCGACGTGCTGTACCGACGCAACTACGCACCCGGTGGACGTCAGTGGCTACTCGTGATCCACGTCATCTGCGATCCGAAATTTTTCCACGTTTCATGACGACCCCCCAATGTGGACACAGGTTTCCTGAAGACTTATTCTCATACGTCTCCGATATTACTGGCGTGGCATGTACCGTTTATACGACAATACGTTCGGGCCTGCTCGACATGCCAGAGACGAAAAACTCCCCCTTATCACAGCCAGCGGTTACCTGTTACCCTTACCATGCCCATCCCGACCATTCGACCCGCGTCGGCATCGATCTCTTGTCCCTTCCCAACACTGCTGACGGTAACCGCTGGATCATAGTTGCCGTCGACCATCTCACGTGGTATGCCGAAACTTCATCCGCACCCTTGGTGACATGCTGTCTATGTATATCATCAGACCACTCCATTGGGACCGAGTGCTCCCGTTTATCACGTTCGCCTATGATACCGCATTCAAAGCACTACTGGGTTCTCTCCTTTTAGGGGCGAAGCTCCTTAGGGCGTGGGCTGTGCGTCCCCTGTAGCCTGTATGTAGCCACCTCTAGTTTAGTTCTTGCAGTGTTCACTAGATGGCGGTACCGTCCCCTGTATGTAGCCACCTCTAGTTTAGTTCTTGCAGTGTTCACTAGATGGCGGTACCGTCTCCTGTATGTAGCCACCTCTCGTTTAGTTCTTGTAGTGTTTACTAGATGGTGGTACTTGTAGCTGGTGATGAAAAGATGCAAGATGTTATAAACTAGAAAGCAGTACTTGTAGAGCATGAAAGACGCGAGATCTTATAAAATAGGAATGATGTCACATATGGCGCGTGTCATTGGTTGAAGGCAATCGTTCGATTTAGTGCGGCGACGTACGCTAGGGGGAGCGATGTAATAAAATCGAGTGGGCAAAATGTACAGAGGATTCATGGTTTACCAGGTTTACCTCCGGAGCTTCGCCCACTCATCATCATTCACTTCGTGGATATGGCGGAATTTTTTTCCTCCTTTACGGACGTGAACCTTCTTGCACTATGAACACCATTCTTTCGTACAAACCTGACTCCTCAGAGTCCACGACTTTGTCTCAAGCCGCTACATACGCTGAAGAATGCCGCCAACTGGCAAGATCATTCACAACCCAAGACCAAGGACGCCAAAAGCACCACCATGACGCATCAAGTAACACTACTTCCTACGATCCAGGTTCACTCGTCTGGCTGCATGTCCCTTCTGCTACGCCTGGCCTTTCTACCTAGTTGGTCCCCAAGTATCACGGCCCATATCGTGTGCTACAAAAACATCACCAGTGAATTACCTCATTGAGCCACTGGAACCATCTTCTGACCAACGTCATCGTGGCCAGGAAATTGTCCACGTCTCGAGACTTAAGCCCTGCTACGACCCTCCCGTGTTTACTTGTCCATAGGTCGCCAGGATGGCTCCTTATTTCGCGTAGAGTAATTGTATTGAATTAATGAATCTGAATAACGGACGCTCTGCTGGCAATGAAGAAGACGACGATGATCGGTGGCTGCAGTAGTAGCTCGCGCACGCCGCTCGCCATTAGCTAGACCTGCCTGATAAAGCATATTCTGCCAAGCTGCGTCTGTACCTTTTTCGACGTATAACACCTCTATTTCAATATATATATATATATATATATATATATATATATATATATATATATATATAGTTAAATTTTGATGCAGTAAACTTGATCTTTTTATTTTATCAAAATATAAATTAGAAGTCATACATTGCATGTGTTGATTATAAATACAGAAGGAAGACATAAAGTTGCAAAGCTGTGAGTGAGACCTCTTAAAAAATCACTCATAAAAGTTAGAACGCAATAGTAAATAGTGGGGGGGATACAAATATTAGAGCGCATAAATGTACAAATAGGTACAATATAGCAAGAAAAGAGTACGAAATTCGCAGATAAGCACAAAAAACTAACAAGAAATGGAATAACATTCGCTCATTGTAAAAGCAAGCATCATGACGCTAAGGAAAATAAATTGATATATGTAACATACAAATACGCACGATGCATACAAAAATGCAGATAAGCTTAAAAGAACAAAAAGTCTAATAACATAATTTGTATATTATAAGCATTATGAATTTAGTAAGAGCGAATGGAAGCTGTTTTGAAACATTACAAGAGATCCACTTTTTATCTCTAAAGGTAAAGTTTTCAACAAGAATACAGAGAAATTATTTACGGTATATTTGCATAATTGGTCCTGGGCTTGTGTAAAAGGAAGAAGTTAGCCTTTGAAAAACGAGTATATCACACCTGAGGAGATTTATTTGAGTGTAGTAAAGGAATGGGAAGTTTTTCATTGGCATATTTGTAGATAAGAATGCCGAGAAAATACTTGGCCAGCTTCTGAACTGATAAAATGTTGTGTGAACAAGCAAAGATGATGCATTGCACATTAAGCCACTGAACGGTATTATTCTCAATGCTTGGTTTTGAAGATGTTAGATGGGTGATAAATTAGTGGCATACGTGCTTGTCATGTTGAAATTCAAAAGATTATATCGCTGGAAAGAAAGCGTCTTACAGTGACAACAATATTTCAAAACTAAAAAGGCGAACTTTTAGCAAAATTTGAATGGCATATGCGGCTTCCCGCGTAAGATGTAGCACATGGGAATAAATTTTAAATGCTCGTCAACTTTGACCACGAGAAACATTGTACTAAAAGTGGAGCGGATTTGGTAGTCGCTTACGTAGACAGAGAGGTTTCTAGGTATAATTCGATTTGGTGACAAAAATGCCACAAATTTTGACTTCTTAGGATTTATTTTTAGTTTATTACTATCGAACCGTCCTAAAATGTTTTCCAGGTCAGTGTTTAATTTCAACAGGATTTAGTTTACCTCTTCATGTGCCGTTAATACAGTGGTGTCGTCCGCATAGAGAATGCAGGACGAATGAGCGAGGCAATGAGGAAGATCATTGATGTAAATTAACAATAAAAGTGGGCCCGAATTCGAACCCTGCGGAACATCGATGTTGATGAATTTAGGGCTGAATAAGGTACCGGAGATATATACAAAATGTTTACGATCACGCAGATAGCTACAACTCAATATTAGTGGGATGCCAGATACTCCAATAGACTGTAATTTATGAAATAAAATGACGTGAGAAATAGCGTCAAGTGCTTTTAAAGGTCATGAAAGACATCACCAACACAACAGTTGTCAATAGCAGATTTAGTTTGATCGGTTAGAGATATCATGGCAAGTTCAGTTGACTAACCGGGAATAAAACCAAACTGCTTATCAGAGAAAATGTGCAGCTTGTCTAAATACCTTCATAAAAGCTTTTCGATGACTTTACTGAAAATCGAGATAATTGATATGAATCGGTAGTTCGAGAATAAACGCTTGTCGCCTATTCTAAAGACGGGAATAGTTTTTGCTTTTTCAGGGCTGTTGGAAAAACCACAGTCTGAAATACAAGATTTATATTGTAATATTATATATCACAGATCAAATGAGCTATCAGTTTTATGTCAGCAGCAGAAAACTTATCGCGACCAGCGCTTGTATTCCAATACCATTGGTAACCCTGAACACTTCTTCAGGTGACATTGGATAAAAAAAATGAATGTAGTAATCGTGAGGAAGTATATTCGAGGGATGCTGTCGACTGAGAAATATCAATGCCGAATGAGTCATTGAAAGAGTTCACAATGTTAGATGAGTTTTCGATCACACGATTTTCTGTGGAATTAAGGTTATGTCTGAATGTACCATGGTCCTGCCAAGCACATATTTTACAGCTTTTCACTGCTTCCTAACGTCATTTCTGGCTCGCTTTATTTTCTTCGTAGTATTTTACTTTAGTGGACTTAAGTAACATATCTAATGTGCTTGAGTATTCTTTATAAAGCTTTTGAAGATTGACAATGAAAGGGGACTTTTTCGTCTTTTTGTATGAATTAACCTTTTTCCGCAGACTTTCTATTAGGTGATATGTCAACCACGAATTAATTGAGACAAGGTACTTTTTTCAGGTCACTTACAATAGACCTCCCGCAGCAAACTACTCTTACGGCAGCACGTCGCCACTGATGTCACACAGAGGCCTGCTGCACAACAACTCGCTGACCGGCGACCACGACCGAGACCTGACACCGTCAAGAATATCGCACTGCAGCGACTACTCGACCAGCTCGAGCAGCGGTGGTTGCGGAGTGCCCGCCGACAGCAGTAGCGAGACATCAGAAGGCGAGTTCGCCAAGACACCTGGAGGATCGCGGAAGTGCTCGCCGCAAAAGATCTCCAAGACAGGCAACATCACACCGCAGCCGGGCGAATTCGGAAGCACCAACGGCACCTCCCCGTGGAAGATGGCGCCGCCAGAACGACCCGACCCGGCGGGAGGACGTTCACACGACGTCATCGTCATCGACAGCAGCGCCGCGTCGGCCGACGAGAGCTACGCATCGTCCGCTTCGCCTCCACCTCTCCCGCCAAGACGAACGGAACGCATCCTCTCCGAGCC